TACTTTTCATAACACAAGGGGAAAAGTTTTAAAATGTGAAAATAAGACTAACAAACTTTTGCATACTGATATAAGATCACCTGATCAACGTTCGACCATGTTTTTGTTCTAGTAAATCGATCCTTGTTTGTGGTAAGTCGACTCTGTCATTATGGGTCAATCCTTGAATTGTTTAATTCGGCCCTTCATTAGAAGAAATCAACATGGCCTTACCCATTACAAATCGCGCTAAGACACCCACAAGTTTAAGTGATCCATCTCCAGTACTCTCACTACCACTGTACAGCATATACACATGTAATTACCAACTTACTAGACATGATTTGACTTGATATCACGAAGGATAGAACAGACAATACCCTTCATATGTACAATTGCAACATCATCGATCAATTTAGTTAGTCAGATAAGATCATGATTTTAAAACAATTTTCAGTTCGATGACACCATTAGAACTAAAGACGTTTAAATGGTTTGAATTAGGTGTTGTTAAGGACAACAATGATTGTGTAATGATGTTACAAGATAAACGCCGTTCCGAACTTTTGAGAAGGCCAAAAAGTTATGCCGCATGGGCGACTTTCTTTCCGTGACATTGCCACACATTTTTAACTCAATTGTATCAATGTAACTCGAGAAAAATGCTTTAAATATGTTCTTTAAGATGGTGTCCTTACCACATGGTATTTACACGTCTCTGTTGTATTCATCCTGCTATAAATAAACATCTTACTGTTTTATATTCTATGGAAGGAATAAGGTGCTGCTATAACTGGACTGGACATATCTCGTTGATTTTCTTGACTCTGCAAGCTGCTTTTTATAACTTATCTACATTCAAAAGTTAGGTCCTTAGCATCACAGACGGATCCTAGAAGGATGAAATACCTGAATGACGCAGTTTAATTCACATTTGGCCCTACTTTATCTAACTCTAAATGTATAAGAAAAGGTGCTCTTCACTGTTGTATTCTTATGTTGTCTCAAAGACGCCATATATCCGTGTAATTGAACTTCAGTCAAATGGTTTTCTTTTTAAATGTTCTCCTTTTTTTGAACTTGATTAAGTAGGATTTGTATTTATATAAAAAATATATCTACGTAAACAAATATTATTTTGACGAAGACCCTAATAAGGCTCTCAAATCGTGTTACTCTTGATCAAATATTCTCAGACGAATAATATGCAGGACTGATTTCACCGTTAGTTTGGATTGGCGTAAACATACATCACAAAACCTTATTTCGTCCAGTTCTAACAAACTACTGTATCTGTATTAATGAATGAATTTTATATCTGCTATTCAAAACACAGTTTTCAAAATTGAAAACTGAAATCAAAGAACATCTAATGAACCCTTTCTCCTATTTAAACATAAAGGAAATCCATTAAGTACAAAATTACACGAAAGAAGCACAAAGTGAACAGTGCCATTTAGCATATCGGTAAGTTAAGAATTAGATACAGTATAGTGAGAATGATGAATTTAGCTGTATCATCAAACTGTTTCCTCCCTCTAGGACAGTAATCTTTCAAAATACAAAGTGTTAGGGGAAAAACAATATTTAGATGGGGAAGTCCGCTTGCCCCATTTTTCAATACATTTCGTAATTCTCATAACCACAGAAGAACGTTTCTTAATATTGAAAAATCGCGACCTTATTTGTTTGTTTGGTTTTGTTTTTGTTTTCTTTTATAACTATTTATTTAACTATAACTAAGGAAAATGGTGGAGATTTCAAAAGTTTGGCCGCCTTCCTTCTGAGATGGTTTATAATCAAATTCAATATTTTCTTAACATTGTTTGAAACCGATTTTGAGCACTGATGTTCTTGATAGGAATCTGAATACGCTTATGATCTCCTTTCAAAGAAATTGATTTATATATTATCTTATCTAATAATTTGATGATAACTCAATCCATGCAATCAGGATGAGAAAAAATGATACGTTCAGTAAAATGTGTCTCACTACCATTACACTGCAGTTCCTGAATGTTTGTCAATTTAATCAAACAAACAACCCCATGCATAGGACACCATCTGGATGAGGATACCACCTCCTCACTTATTTTGTAACCCAGACATGATATTACGTTCGTGACATTGGATTTTGTACACTATGCATCTCAATGCCTTTTGTTTTCATTTCTAAATGTTAAGCATCTTTTTGAACCTGTCGGTGTAGCAACATCGCCCGAAATGTCTTCTATACTTTTCCTATCATGATTCCGTTCATGTGGTGGCTGGTTTTCTGCTTTTCCACCACATCTGAAAAATTCATTTGTCTCCCTTGCCTGATAAAAATAGTGATGACAATTCCTTTTATCAGGATCTTTTTCAACAATAAATTTCTCATATTTCCCTTCTTCAAATAAGATTTCTGGTTATTCATTTTCGTTTGTGATGCATCTAAAGTTAGTTTTTGTTGGTTTACACTGCTTCTCAAACTCGAAAATACCAGTCCCAAGATAATCTTCTACATCAAATCAATAATGTTCAACAAATGAAAACTGGTTTTCTCTGATTTTCCATGCTTACTCTGCCAAACTTATCAGTAATTTTGGCACGGGAAGCGACTTTCCCTCAAAACAAATGTACGATGACTTGGGCATCGAAATGACAGATGATAGGCATGGCTGGGGAAAAAAGCGTGATCAAACACGTAAAGTACTTCAGTTTATTCATAATGTAACAAGGGCTGTTGATATTGTGTCACAAAGACATGAGCGGTGTGGAAATTCTATATTACATCGACAAGAATGTAACTTTCACTGCCATTAATAGATTATTGTCAGTATTGATTTGTATTTCAGTCATGATATAAACACGAAAAATATATGTAACAAATTCAAAACTTGTTTTTCAATGAAATCAACTACACATAATCTTTATTTTTCAATGTGATGACTACAAACTATATGACTTCCCAATATTGCATGTGCACATAAAATATATAATAAATGCCAATTTCGATATATTTCATATTGAATGTGTACATAACATATATTTATTTATCAATTTCGATATATTTCATATTGAATGTGTACATAACATATGTTTATTTATCAATTTCGATATATTTCATATTGAATGTGTACATGATAAATATAATATATATTTCAATTTCGATAGATTTCATAATGAATGTGCACATAATGCATATTTAGAAATTTCGATATATTTCATATCGAATGTGTTCGTATGATACAAAATAAAAATCAATGTCGACAAATCTCATTTACTTTCAGAACATTTTTCTGTGTTCATATAATCTAATTGACCTCGGATTATTATCAGGTGGTAGGACACTGCAGTGATCAATTCATTGCCTCCCAACTACACGAATTGACGTAAAATGTCATCTGCTCTGGTTACACAAATACCTCTGACATGATTCCATACAAGCGAACAGGGGTAGTTGGTTGAAGTTATTTGCAGATGATAATATTGAGATCGTTTCGCACTGTTAATTCAATAGCTATCGCATAGTCATTATCTTTTTTTACCCAATACGTAAATCCATCTTTGAACTTATTGACATTAAAAAAGTATACCGTTATCTGATCTGTTTTAATGAGTACCTACTCATTTTCTTCAAAATATTCTTTGTTTCGAATATTTATGTACAGTGCCGGTATATATTTTTGTTAATTGATTAGATGACAAAAGAATACGCGGAACCGAACCGATGGTTATCTAAGAGCTCTTGTTTGTTTGCTCAAGCGTTTTAATCACTCTCTGGTAAGCCAAATTCAATCTATATAAAAGGTAAGCAAACAATTAATAATTGCTTTTTGTATTTGTATCATCGAATCGATACTTCTATTGAGATAATTCTATTGGACAATCAAATGAATCAATAATTTTGCATGTATGAAAATCCTAGCACTACTATCGCTCAGAACTCCAGCCATCACCTTAGCTGGTCAAGTCGAGTTGATGATATAGTCAGTTTTCATTATCAGTTCGGAGCGTTTGTCAAACTGTTCATAACACTGATCAACAGGTAAGTCTTTCACAATGTCCAGTGCCCAGTATCCATCTGCATTGTTATTTGTATACATGAATCATCAATTTTACACAATCTTTAATGGATGCTTGTGGAACGATAATGATATCATGACAATGAGACAGTTGACTTTACACTTTCGTCTTATTGAATTATGAAGACTGTCATTCGCACCCTTTGGTTGGTAAAGGAAGCAAAAGTTTTGGAAAGCTGGATAAGTACATTTTAAGTGGTTTGCCGTTTGTGCTTAAAATAAACATTTTCAAAAATTGACTTGGCTGACCTACAAAATATAATGTTCTTGTTGTATCATGCTTGTATAGGTACAAAAAACTTGTTACATTGAAGTATATATAACTTTCTCTTATTTAAGTTTTAAATATTATATACAGTTCAAATTCAGTAATGTATTAACTTTGATTTTAGATATAGATTTCATCACATAACCTTATCTTCTGCATTTCATTGGTCATACTGTAAGTATCTTTATTTTTATTGACTTTTGTTGATATGAAGTGCTGATTTCATTGTATTATGTTATACGTTTTACTGAATTTCTCGTTTTTCTTTGAACAATAATGAGTGTATTTCAAGCAGTAAAGGTCAACATAAAAGACAACAAGAATATTTAAGATTAACTGGAAACGAAATAATGATTGGTTACGGAGTTTACAATTTCCTATCAATTTCTATCAGTTAATTCAAAGACAAATTCGATTTTTGTGTTTGATAATAAATTCTGCCAGCATCCTTCATGTGTGTATAATCGACATTGAGCGATGTAGAACAATTTGAATATTCAATTGCTATTACATCATGTGTTCTTATGAAGTTTTCAGTATATAAGCATCTTCTTGTTCCCCGGCAGACATTGCCGGTCAGAGTATCAAACTTCTGGTGTGAGGGTCAAAAGATATTCAGAATAAGTATGTAAACTCGTATATTATCTTTAATGGTAGATACCTTCTATATTCCAGGACACAAAATTATGGACATGCGAACAGTCCTTTTCATGGTTCTGCTATACAGTAGTGGACAGCCGATACTGGGAGAAGCGGGCACAATGGACGACTGGATTAGACTGAGGGATAGCCTGTTTTCTAACTACACCAAGGATATTTACCCTTTGCACAACTTCAGTGATACACTGAATATAGATATATCGATGTTTCTTTTATCTATTATTGACTTCGATGAAGTTTCTGGTGTCATAACTTTAAGTGCGGGTTTAATGCTGAATTGGAATGACTATCGCCTACAGTGGACACCAAGCGAGTACGGCGGAATTGAAGCTATACAAGTGAATTCTACAAATGTCTGGACACCAAAGGTGTATGTACTTACAGCTGCAGATGACCTCCGCCCGTTTGGCAGCGAAGAATTCAGTGTAGATATTTCGTATACTGGCAGGTTAGACTATGTTCCGGGAAAGCTTTTGAAATCCACATGTTCCGTGGATATGTCCAAGTTTCCATTGGATACTCAGACATGCAATATGCAAGTGATGCTTTGGAGATCTCCGTCTACTGTAAAACTGACTTATAATAGAACGGATTTTATTCTTACGTGGTATACGACCAACGGAGAATGGGATATTACCAAAACTAACGTCTCATATTATATGGCATATGGATCACCGTCTACGACACTGGATTTTATGCTTCAGATATCTAGACGACACATCTACTTCATTGTGTCAATGACGATACCGGTTTTGTTGTTATGTTTTCTCAATCCGTTCGTGTTCCTCCTGCCGTCTTCCTCGGGAGAGAGGATATCCTACACTATCACGATGTTCCTGTCACTTACTGTCTACATGACACTCATAGGAGACATTCTCCCTAAAGTGTCAGAAAACATGGCTGGGATGTCTTATTTCTTGCTGTTAACCTTATTCTACAGCGGTATTTTGATTGTATTGACGATATTCACACTTCGGTGTGAAGCTGCTGTAGATGTTAAAGAGTTTCCAAGATGGTTGAGGAGACTAACACACTACTGCTGTAAAACGAATGAAAACAAAGTTTCCAATGACACAAACTTGATAAAAAGTTTTGATCTGAAAAACCAAAAAGAAGATGAAGTTACTGGAGTAGTTGATATAGATGCAGAGTTTGTGGATGTTCAACTCAAGGACGTGATGCAAGTCATTGACAAGTTTCTGTTTGGTTTTTCTTTGCTGTTAATATCGATGTTGACGCTTTGGTTTATTTGCACCTATCATTCTTAATATATTTAGACTTCTTACAATTTTACAATTTTTTAAACATGACATTACAGTTTATAAAGCTGTCGTTTGCGTTTATATCTCTTTCATTTTGATAAAATCTCTCACCAAAACTGAACGACTTTTATCTCAAGAATGGAATTTCTGTGCCTATATTCATCTCATGGTTTCTCATTAAGCTAAATAGACAATAAATCACTTCCCATACGTTCAAGTGAAGGAATCAGTGATTGGCAAACGCGAAATCAACCGGAAAGTACAAAATTATATAGTATATTATGATTATATATATTGTGATATCTTCAATATCAACAAATGCTCAAACGTTTCCTGGGATATAAGAATATACATAAGCTTCACACAGAATTTGATCTTGAAAGTATATCACTGCGATTTCTTCTGTGTGGAACATATGACTTGGCTCAGAATATAATTATCTGATGTAAGAAAACTACGAAATTTATTTAACTATAGGGCTGCTATACCTCCCCGTCTAGATTTGAATTTTTCCTTCGATCACTTTCGATTTTCCTCTGTCGACTCCTAGGCTTCAAAGTTTAGGCTCTTAACATCAGTGACGAGTCCTAGAAGTACGATATAGCTGTATAATCCAATTAAATTCATTGTTTGGCTCTACTTTATCTAACTCTTGATTATGAAAATGTTATATTCACTTGTGTGTGTTTTGTAAAATCTTGGCATTTTACTTTTAATATGTTACTTGATTCACAATAGGGGATCTATACCCAGCTTTTTGTCCCGCTTCTATAACAGCTTTACTAGAAAGGTAGTGTGTTATTTTTATGAAAAGATGGCCAACATCAACGATATACGCAATTATCACTTAAAGTTGGTAACACCCAGACTTCAGAGAATTGCTTTGAAAGTTCTTCTGTACTCAGCCAAAAAATTAACATTGTCATAAATGTCTGCTTCATAACAATATATCATTGCATCTTTGAACAAAAGGCTCATGATGCCTGTATCGGTCACTGGATATTTCAGCTTTCCTTTAAAACATTTTTATTCACAAACTTTTTGTTAAAATTTTCCAAAAGGATGAAGCCATATTTGGTCAAAATACGTGCATTGTAAGAAGAAGAGGGATATCAAATTCAACATCCACATGTATTTATCCTATCAGGCCACGCCCATCAACCCACAGAAAGTGAGGCCAATCATATTCACAATTTGATCCAGTTCACTGTTCAGGTCATATTGGGACAAATCCTGACATTACTACAAAAGGGTTTTTTAAACGATTCCTCTATTTCCCTTATTAGGATTGGGCCCAACTCTTTGTCTCCATGGGCGTCAGAATCATCTTTTATAAGAGCTGTCACTGTCCAGTGATTAATTCTAATCCGTCACATTCCGTTCAAGTCTGATTACATTTGCACTGATAATATATGTATCCCTGAAACAGTACTGTAACCTTGAACATTTTGCGAGGGAATAATTTCGTGATTTCTATGGGTAAACAATACGCGGAGGTTTATTTTTGCGATAAAAAAAAATTAAGAAATTATTTCGTCTATAAATTTAAGCACATCAAATATATTATGCGTGGGGGGAATTTTCGTGAATTAACCTTCGCGTGTTTAGCATAAATTTCCCCTCGCGTATATTTCCACGCTAACTGTCATTGTCAAATATGTTGAACGCATATCCGTTTGGAATGTGAGAGCTGCATTCATTAATTGATTTTGTATGACTGAAAATAGCACTAATTTACTGTCAATGTAGTCATGTCATGTCACACAAGCTTTATGCTTAGTGATTGCTTATAGCATAATCCTTCATTTATAATAAAATGTACAAGCATACAGTTATGTGTTGATTTTTTGTTTTTTTGTTTTTTATTTTGAATCCTATCTAAGAAATTGATTATAAGCTTTTGATTGGTTCATTCTTTAGTTTTATGCTGATAACTAACAATTTTTTAAAAGGTTATCATGATTACACGCATTGATTCAGTTTGCAAATAGGGTTGTCTGTCAAGCCAGCATGAAACTAAAAAGTATGATATAACCATATGAATAGCATGCGAAAATACAGATATCTTCTTTTTCAACAAAATCTTGTTTTTTTTTTCAGATCAGATAATTTCAAATAACCACAAAAGTCATTATGTTATAGACTTGATACATTGTTCATGAAGCAAAAGACGCTTACTCTTCCGGAACAGCTGGTATTATTATCTTTTCACTTTTTCAGGAGTCTTCGTGTAAATCTTTCTTTTGTTCCTATTTTTGGACCTAGTTTATTAAATATGAGTTTGGATTATGTTCACATGTTGGTATTTTATGGTGTTGTTCTTGTTGAATAGGCAATAGTATTCTTCAGCGTAGATACTTTGATCGAAGGTTGATCACAAACATAACTCACAAACACGTGTGTATAGTCACGTACAAAAGCATATAACGGAACTTAAAATAACACGATATAACATAATAGCCCACACAAAATGAAATATATGTAATATAAGTCACGACATTGATTCAAACACAACATTCCAAAACGCATCAATCATTCATCGTAACGTTATACTTTTACAAGCAGGACAACTACAGCATTCCATATCATTTTCCATATCTGCTCCTGCTTGTCGGGTTTTTTTTTATTCCAGTTTTCAATTCTTTTCGATTCGTAAATCTTCACAATATTCAACTCTATTTCGTCGTAGAAAGATTCACCTATATAACACCGGTCTTAACCAAAATCTGTCCAACTCCGTTATATCAAGGTTCAAGTTCCAATCTTTCGTGCAACCTACACAATCAAAGCCATGCGTCCCGATACAAACAAATCGCTGATTCCTACATTACAGGTAAATTGATAGTTAAAATATCGTAAGTGTACACAGTATTTGCAATATAATGATGTAGGTGCCATATATCAGAGATAGCAGATAAGTTGGATGTATGTCATACAGAAGACCGCTCGAAAATATGTGAAATGAGGTGGGTTGATACGGCTTTATGGTCGAGTAACGCTTCCAGGCCCTAATATTCTAAATTGTATGTTTAAAATTCGTAGCTGTCGACGACATTGGCACTGTTATTTACGAGAATATTGAGAGACAGAAACTCACTTTATCACGAAGGGGCATGGTAAATAAAGAGATAGATGGGCTTAATTACCAGACTTAGATAAGGGTAGGCCTAATTACCGGAGTACTGAACTGATATGAATTCACAAAACGAAACAGGATAAAATGTGTAGAATGTACCTATTGTAGCAATCTTTTATATTCAATTTTTGTTTCAAGTTCGTCTTAAAATTCCGTCATTTTTAATCATTTTTTCATTACAAAATCACACTTTCCTTCGCGATTCTAAGAACTGTTTCATTTAGACCCCACGGAAATTGACATTTCTAGAGAAAGAGTGGCATCAGTGTTATCTCCCTTTTTATGTAACCATTCAAAGCTAGCCACAATTCACATGATTGCCACCTAACTTTAGTGTCACTGTGAAGCCAGTGTAAGAGATTCAAAATTAAAAAGGCTTCATCTTAAAATTATTACTTTCCTGTACTACCCTTTCAATCTTCAAATTTTTATATGATTATTCTTTGCATTTACTTTGAAAATTATTATTATTATTTTTCTTTTTTGTCAAATACTCTACGTAATCAGTCATGGGGGAAAGTTTTTCTTCAACCTTTTTGGGATCAAGAAAATTAAAGATAATTTCTAACTTCACCAACTTCAGAGTGTAATATCTAACATCTCGAGTAATATCCAAAATTAGTAGTGTAGCTAGATCATCCAATTTATATAATACTATTTATATTGTAAAAAATCAAACTAATAGGGACTATTACAATGAGAAATATGTACCATAAATATTGTTAAACAGAATTCAAATGGTGAACATATTGCCTTTGTTATATTTAAATTGATGATCTATACAGCTATGCTTTCTATTAAGGTACCTTAGTCCATCTCTTCAGACTTTATAGTATAAAGGTTGGTTAAATAACTTTTATTTTAATAGTACATGTAGATAGACTTACACCACAATAAGCACCAAGGTAAACATAATACTTTCACTCATATACTCATATCAAGGGTTTGACATTATTTTAGGAATTAATCATTTTTTCCACTGTAAGCACATCATAATGATAATGAAATACAAAAATATGATTTATCACTACCTCAAAAAATGATAAACAACCTTAACCAGTCTTAATGCTTTCTTTTACCAAATCACATGTCATGATATTAAAACAACTCATATACTGCGGGAAAAACAGTTCAAAGGAAGCTTCGTGATGTGTCTTTGAAATAGGTTAAAGACTGGTTGACGAGGAATAATTTTTTACTTGTTTTCTCTTTTTGATCATATTGATCTCGCTTACAAATATTAAAAATTTATAAAATAAAGGTTTCTTGATTCCATTCAAGTATTAATGAATATCATTGTTTCTTATGATTTCATATCAAATGAAACTGAAAATTGATTCCAAAATTCCAGAATAACCCACATCAATGTAATAGGAAGGTGGATGATGAGTCATAGGTAAGGGTCTTTCACAGTGAGGAGAGATAGACATGCAAAAGTTTCTTCCTGTGAAAATCAGAGAATTGTTTGTTGAAACAAATTTGAATGTCAATTGAGGTTAAAGAAGTATTTTTTTTTTAGAAAATCGAAGTACACGTTAGTTGTGCATGTGTTGATTAAATAGGTGTTGAAAAGGCAAATAGATTAATCAATAGTTGATGATGAAATTTGTTTCATTTCCTAGAAAATCATTGTCTAATAACAAACACTGAGTTGGTTGTATGTATACTTTCAGTGTGTTTTACGCTGGAGCTTGGATAATAAAGAAACTGAAAGGAATTAGTGAACCACTTCATCAGAGCAGATTTCTAAAGATGCATGCTATAGAAACAACCCATGAATGTGGTGTGTGTTTTAAGTTATTTGATGAGGTATCAAGTCTACAGATTCATCTCCAGACTCATCTAGACCAGACGCCATCTATCTGCAATGTCTCTGGTAAGGGTTTTGATCATCCTTGTATACTTAAGGATCATTTAGAGACAAATACAGTGGAGAAGTCATACAAATGTGATATTTGTGAAAAGAAGTTTACTAGGCCATATGGTTTGAAAGTACACTACATGACTCATACAGGAGAAAGGCCATACAAATGTGACATATGTGGTGAAACATTTAAGGAACCAAGTGCATTACAGATACACCTGAGTGTTCATACTGAGGAGTTGTTATGCAAATGTGGTGTTTGGTGGTATATCTTCCCTAAAACATCACCTCAGAGTTCACACAAGAGAAAAGCCATACAGATGTGAAGTCTGCGGTATGGAATTTACTTTTGTCCACAACTTAAATACACATCTCAAGGTACACACAGGAGAGTTGGCGCACACATGCGATGTCTGTGGTAAAACGTTTGAAGAACTACACTTACTAAATATACATATAAGGAAACATACAGGAAAGAAGTTGTACAAGTGTGATGAATGTAAAAAGGAATTCAGTGTTTTGCGTAGTCTTAAAACGCACCTCAGGATACATAGTGGCGACCAGCCTTACAAGTGTGGCATTTGTAATAAGGCATTTAACAGTATAACTACACTAAAAAATCATCTCAGAATACATACAGGAGAGAGACCCTATAAATGTGATGTATGCGGGAAGGACTTTATTCAGGAAGTGAATCGAAATAAACACCTCAGGGTTCATACAGGAGAGAAACCATACAAATGTGAGGTATGTGGTATGGATTTTACAAATAAAGGTAACTTAACTGTACACTACAGAGTCCATACCAGAGAGAAATCCTACAAATGTGATACATGCAGGAAGGAGTTCAGATATTCATCTAACCTACGAAAACATCTCAACATACACTTCCGAGAGATGACCTCGGAAGAAGTTGGTACAAATGGAGATGAATCCCCCTGACAGGACATTTAAATAAAAATTTCTCTGGTGCAAGACTTTTTGTCTGGCACTTATATTCATACAGAACAAATACATGACAAACTGTATAGGCATGATATCCAGTTTTATCACTGACATGTTTAAAGATGGGTCACTTCAGACAAGTGTTGCCACCTTGACATATATGATACAATAAAAACTCACAAATGTGACGGCGCTATAGACACACATTTAGGTGCACACCTATTACAGAATATAACAATATATTTGATATACATGTCTTTCATTTTATGCAAATAGAATGCCCCAGTATCACCTAGCCTCATATAAAATGTTTATGAACATGTACAGGACATATGCACTGGAAGTACTCTCCATAAAGACTGTGTACATTTTGTCGCATCAATACAGAATCCTTACTTTAATTTTGTTTCATATTACTTGTAAGAAAACATGCAAGAGTGAATTAATAAAGCATTTTACAAATGTAGCAAAGTATTGTTAATGCATTGAATCTTCTTTTTAATTTAATTAATGTCATTTTCTGTGGGGAAAAAACCCGCCAATTTCCCCTTCAATTGTTTTGTCTGAATTTTTTTTTTTTTTTTTTTTTTGAAAAAAATAATAAAATGCAACAATTGTCAATATTCAGTATCCTTTTCCTTTTTCCAATATTTCTTAATTTGGTTGACTTTTTTCTGTATGCTTGTTAATATATTGAATAAGTATTTTGAATGTTGGTGTAAGTATGGAGATAAATGCATATGAATTATTATTTGCACTGGGGTTTGTAACTTACATATTACCTTTACTGTACATTTTGTTGATGATGTAAGAAATATTTTTAAAAATATATTTAAAAAGTACAAAAACTTCAAACATATCATGTTTTATTTAATCATTCCAAGATTTATCCTTGTTACTATTTTTGTAAATTATTCGTTTTGAATATACATGAACAGCACAGGATATGCAGAGAATGTACTATCCTGAAAGAATTTGTACTTTTTATCACATGAATCCTTCTTGTCATCATGTAATATTTATATTGGACACAGACTCTCATTCTTTATCTATAAACTGATACAGGCATCAAACAAATTTGATAAATAAGGGATGGTATAGAGTACATACAAACTATATAATAGGATACAGTTAACATGATAAGAGTTATAGTCATATGGAATTGATTACAAAAATGTGTTTACCTGTTCTTCAAGTATACTTTACATATGATACACTTGTTACAAGCAACCCTGTTAACACCAAAATAAATTGCTGCTGTAATGTGTACCGAAATATGCATTTTATAAATGTACGAAAATGTTGTCAATGTTTCTAAAGCAGCTAAATTCCTGTTCAATTCATTTAGGTTAAAAAAATGGGAAAATGTAATTATTGTTATTATTCTGCATAAGAATGAATGTTTGATGTCATTTTTACTATGTTTTGTAAATACACATTTTACATATCTTCTCTATTGTATGATTTATTGATAATATATGAAAGAGATATTTTTATATTGAAAGTCAAAAAAAATTGTTTGTACTTCACATATATATATACATACTTTTTGTCATTAGATTATCTATTCTATTTGTGCTGCTAGTATCAAACACTAGATAATATGCACCTGACTAAACCAATGTGTATCCTTCAAAGATATTATACATAATATTACATACCTGGTATTATATTTTTGTTACAAGCGACCCAATTTACATGAATTTCCAGTTGAGTAACGTGTGGATATATGCAAAAATAAAGAATTTTACAAATGTTGTAAATTCATCGAATCATTATTTTTAATTGCATTAATAAAGTATTGCAAGATATTTTGTTTTATTTCTTTCAGACTTTATTTTTTGTGAAATAGTCAATTAGGTAAAACAAAGTATTGATAAAATGTAAAAAAAATTGTTGATATTACATACTGGTAATTTTTTTCCACATTACATAAATTTTTCCTCTCAGACTTAATTGATGGAGACTTTGTGCAGTACGCATAAAGGAAAGTGGTACTTAAACACCCTGTGGATGAAGTGTGTAGGGTATTGGATTAAGTATGTGCCCCGTTTTCAAACCACTCAAGTGAAACAAGTGTATGTAGAGGATTATTTTTATATAACAGGTGTTAAATTTCAAAGCTGCTGGACGCAGTAGTGATGGCCAGTTATATATATGAAAGAATGTTTGATATCAATTATACTTTATTTCATAAATATATCCTTTTTTTTTTGTACATTTTGGTGATGATTTATGAAAGGAACATTTTCCTGAATTCATTGAAAATTAAAAAAAATGGTTGTTCATAATTGTTTATCATTTATTGTACATTTTGTTGATAAGGTATGAAGGATTTTCGTTTTTATCTTGAAAGTCCAAACAAATTCCCTATATAACTTTATCATTCCAAACATAATACCATTGTTGTAAATATATACTTCCTTGTACATGTTTTTGGAAATTTTTCGTTATTTTTCATTTTGTACTTGAAGCACATTCGGTTCTGTTTTATTTTTCTTATTAGTTAAACATTGACGAAAAGCGCTGTTTTCTTTAAAAAAAATCATTATGAAAAGATTGAACTGAGAGTTACTGTAATGAAATTTTTTGGTTAGTTATAATAATAAACTTTGCATATTTTACAACAATTGCAGAGCAAGTTTTTCCCACTTATATAAATCACTCTTGTTGGCTCAGATGGAAGTGTGCAAGGGGTCTTAATGTTGAAGGAACCGGAGTACCCAGTGAAAACCCATGTGGTCGGGTAGGTGACTCCATACCTTTTCACATCCATTCCGCGAATCGAACCCCGGACGGCTAGGTGAAAGTCGAGTGCGTTACTTTTGGTTAGTTGTCTACCCATCGTGTCAGGTCGTGACATTTCACGTCGACATCCGTTCTCATAGGCATCTAAAACAAACACTAAGTCGCGAATACACAAAATGACAAATAACGAAATCACAAACTGACCCAATAAATCAACGGGTTAACCTAGCGCTGCGAATAAATTATAACGATAAACATACGTTACTCAATTTACGTAAACTATTAATAGCATCATTATATATAAACAAAATCGCACATCATTTACTGTCATTACACTTATTCTACGATTTCACAAAATATAAAACAAGTCGTCTGCTGAGCGAAACTGCTTGAGCTCGATTATGGAAACATAATCACTTCATGCACTTGACTTACGATAATACAGCAACAAATAAACATACACCTTGGTTCAACACAAACATTTTGGCGATTCAAGATAGTTCAATTAATCAACAAGTATACGACTGCGATGCGCGACTATGATTTATAACTAGCTCGGAGATTTTCCTAATAAACACAACGTTATACATTTAACTATCTTCTACACAGATGAGTTCTAATAAAAAAAAACAAGAGCGATAACTCTATACTACAATTACAAACTACCTGGACCATACTCTAGATAGTGGTCCAAGGGAGATAACTCTTACTAAGTTACTGACAAACCTTTCACTGAACAGTGATTCAGCGAAATACCACTGGAACTATCAACTCAGAGTTATTAAACATAAATTAGATAAATCTTACACTTAACAATCATAAATTTCGTAATTATGCATTAAATCTCTATTAATGATTATGTGGATAACATAACACTCAACCTTAAAAATCTGGAAGCAAAGTGTACTTTTAATTTCTTTATCTTATGAACTAGGTGGGTTTTTCTGATATTCCATATATGCAAGTTTCCCCTGATATATAGAAGTGTCCTTTTATCCATCAAGATATACTGATATGTTGTTATCTTGTATTCAGTATTTTATGATATTGTATTTAGTATAAAGGTTCTCCTTGGGTTTCAAGTTTGATTTTGATGTTTATGTTTTTACGGCGCGTCCAAGCTAGGTCATTTTGGGCCAAACTATCATACGGTTTTCTATTATACAAAAGTAGTAAAACCCTTAAAACAGAGAGAGCATATGGAAACTAAAAATTACACTGTGTTAAACACATGAATATTGCTGGATAAAACAAACAATAGAAAAAGAGTATGTTTAATGATAACTCGCACATATGGTTCATATTTCGTTAAAGAGGCCAATCTCTGTAACGTAATTCAGTATTTCATCCTAGTCAACGAAGGTGAAAAGGCATTTCAGACCCGGGATCTGGAAGTACTTCGTACGAAGTTGCTAAAGATCTGAGCAAACAATTAGAAGATGTTCCACTGTTTGCATGGAATCACATACATAACAAAATGAAAGGTCACCACCCTGCAGAGGAAAGGAGTCAGATACGTCATCTTTGATTGCAGCAGAGATGGTCGGCCTGAGATCAGTAAATGTCAGTTTGTCATTATTTAGAAAGTTAATTAGCAGTTGTTTTAGCTTTTTCATTCCCATGGATACCCTCATGTCCCATGATGAAGATAAATTTGTGTAAACACTGATTAGATATATGATGCATTCTTAAAAACAAGTTTTTAATAAAACCGTTTTTAATGTCATGGTTCAACGGGGACATCGGGTATAACGGTACAGGCTATATTTGAAAAATCTATGTTTATATCTTCAAGGGTTTTTTGACTCGTAATCCAAAAGTTGGAATAAAGTTTCGTCATGGCGGGAAGTGCAAATATTTTCTTAGCTGAGCTGCATATTTAGCTCACCTGGCCCGAAGGGCCAAGTGAGGTTAGGCCATACCCCAGCGTCTGTCTGCCCGTCCGTCTGTTTGTTGTCCGTCTGTCCTGCGTCCTTCAACTTTTCATTTAAACAACTTCTTCTGAAATACCAGAAGACGTAGATTTATCAAGGTCACAGAGGTCAAATGTGTGTAAACTTTTAAATGACATCTTCCAAAATACCGGAAGGCCTAGAATCAATATATATGACTGGAAAGTTCCTTTGATGGAGCCCAACAAAATTTGCGAAAAAAACCTTGACCCATATTCAAGGTCACAGAGGTCATATGTGTTAAAACCTTTAAACAACTTCCAAAATACCGGAAGGCCTAGAATCATTATATTTGACTGAAAGGTTCCTTTGATAAAGCCCAACAAAGTTTACAAATAGAAATGACCTTGTCCAATATTCAAGGTCGTAGTAGTCAAATGTGTTTAAACCTTCAAATCACTTCTCCCAAAATACATGAAGGCCTAGAATCATTATATTAGGCTACCATGTTCCTCTTATGGTGTCCTACAATATTTGCTAAAAGAAATGACCTTGACCAATCTTCAAGGTCACAGGGGTCAAATGTGTTGAAACGTTTAAACAATTTCTTCTGAAATATCGAGTAGACTAGAATCATTATATTTGGCCAGTATGTTCCTTTTATGAAGTCCAAGAAAGTTTGCAGAAAGAAATGACCATAGTCAAGGTCGCAGGGGTCAAATGTGTTAAACGTGGAACATGTGCACAGATATGTTACAGTTGATCATAAAGATCCATGTGAGCGATACAGTTCCTCTGGGCCTCTTGTTTTTTTTTTTTTTACATAATTTGTTCTGCAGTTTTGCAGGGATGGTTCATTGGTTTCGACATAAATGTTTTTCCCTGGTGTTGTTGGAAAAGTCCCTAAAGCCAGATGCAATCAGCAAGTAAGATTTGCGTGCTGCCCTAATCAGAATGGAAAAGAATTCGCAAGATGTTAAACACCTTCAAACACTTGGTTTTAAGATTTCTGATGTGTGGGAGGAAAATGAGTTTCGAGTCGAAAATTTCTTACATAAATGAATACATACAGTCTCTGAATTTGAGAAACGAAATTCGTTGTCATCTGCCAAATGTTGTATTTTGTAACACAGTTGTAGTTTTCGCTCTATCGTATGCATTTTTTTTTTGAACTGTAACAGATCATGAAGTCGTCCACACACAGGAATCCCTTCATTGAAGAAGAGCCCAGACACTACTATTAATTTTGAAACCGAAAAATGTAACTGAAAGAATTTCTCTTTGAGGGACTAACATTTCTCTAATCCAGCTGAAATAAGTCTTATGTTTTATCAAATGTAGTTTGTCAAGGAAATAGGACGGAAGATATTGAGGTCTGTTGCGTCCTTACTAGATTTTGGGATGGGAATGATGGCAGCCTCTTCCTGGTGCCTGGTATTTTGCAAGAGGTAAGCACATCATTGAAAATGTTCAAGAGGCATTTCAAACTGCAATCTTCAATTTGTTCGAAAAAAATCTTGCAGAACATCGTCCGGGTCGGGGAAGCATTGTGTAATTTTTGTCCCGAATAGTGTGAACAACCTATTAAAGATTGTATATACGCAGATATAAAGTTGAACCTCTTTTTTTTCTCAAAAGTTTGATTTTTTTTTCGGAGTGATTTGAAACGGAGGAATTTTTAAAGATAGGTTTGTTAAGTGATATTGGGGATATGAATTTTCTTAAAATTGGTCTTTAATTATTTGTAACTGACCTTCGTCCTTTTGCCCTTAATATTTTGAAATGGTGCTTTTTTATATTTTTTTAGGACAATTGATGTATCGGCGATGGGATGACTTACGTTCGGAGTGACGTTTTTGTGTTTCTTGGGATAGATGGGACTGTATAGGTTTGGTCGTGGATTTTGGCATTGTTTTTTCCGCAATGTCAATAGGTTTTGATGTGAAAAGTGTCATCAGGTCCACTATGTTGTACCAAGAAGCATTGTAACTCGGGTGACCGTTAATGTCATTGGAACTCTAAGTCTAGTCTCTTATCCTAACTGGTCCAATCATTTAAACACATACATAAAGAAAACAACTATCACTATCTAAACCAATGACCCCTCAGTCACATCATGGCGGAGTGTACGACGTCATCAGTCATGAGTTATCGCCGCCGTCACTAATTGTCTCCCCTATTCTGCTTGCAATGGTTTAGGTAAGCCCTCCAATGAAATTCGACTGACGGGTTGGTTTTGACAACAGGAGGGCGTACTGGAAACATTGCAAGCAGAACAGGGGAGGCAATAAGTGACAGGGGCGATAACTCGCGGGTGATGACGTCACACATTCCGCCATGATGAAATAATGTGACTGAGAGACCGTTGGTTTAGGAGGTCGCTAACTTGGATTTCCGTTGCGATGGAAATCCACGATAGCGGACTCCTTAGCAACCCTCCCCAAGTTCTATCTGTCCTTTTTTAAAAGTTTACTTAAACAATTTCCTATCTGTATCATATTTTATAGCAAATGTATCTAACACTAGACCGCTTTTTCATATCTTAAAATGATTCTTACATTTTATTACACAATATACTATAACGGGCACCTCTTCAGCATAAGTGAAATTAAAGCATACTCATACACATCAAAAGGATCAAGCAATTTATTTGAAATACGTACGTTTTTGTACGTCATCAACGTGAAGCTGATGACGATGAAGAAGTTTGTTTTTTCATTCCAACATACTTTCCATAAGCTCGGCTTCTAGCTTATGGAAAGTATCAATAATATGAAATAGCATGCCCTCCACCATGGAAATGGAAATTTACTGCTATACATGTAGTACTTCTTAAACCCAAACATCCATTCTTGTTCTTCAACAAAATACAGAGCAAACTGTTGATGGAACTTGATGAATTTGTGAATGTGCGTTTTATTTATTTGTTTTCATTTCATGCAATACTGTGATTCTCCATGATATACATTTTAACTGCAATAATTGAAATGTTTGTTTTACTATAAGTTTATACTCTGTAAGAGCAGATGAAATGATTTGTACATTTGATAATTTTTTAATTGTCATATTTGATGAAAAAGTATATTTCTTTCGAACTGCAAAAGTGTTTAATTCTGAATAAATATAATTCATTTAACATGATATATATTGCTTTTGTGAATGTATCTTTACCTTCACAGATGTTGAAATGATCTTATTTTCTGTATTAGACTTAAAAACAACCGACCTCTATACAAAGGATACCGCTCTACAAAGGATAAATTTGCTCGGTCCCTTGACTGTCCTTTGTAGACAGGCTTGATTATACTGATATCAATGATAGTAAGAAGTGGTCCTCACACATGTGAAAATTCTTCTCGTTTTATTCCTTACAATAATAGTCACATCACTTGTGGAAAACGTAATAAGTTCTTCACCTGGATCGAGGGAATAGTTTTCGTAGACATATAAAAATACACACTCTGACGCAATGTTGATTGATGTCACATCATTTCGTTAAATTAATCGTTCCATAACAGAACGATAATAAAGGAATTCGGATAGAAAATTATTCTACGGGCAAAGATAACTATTTTTAACAGTAGAATGTAATATTACATCCAAGCAAACGTAGGATTTTTTAATCAAGTGTAGTGTTGATTTTCATAAAAAAAAAACAACCATTTACAGTAACCTTAGAGAAGAAGAAAACATCACTGAATGATAATTGGACTTATTGCGAATTAAAGACTAAATGACAGAATATCTTAACACCATCAAATATGTAAATGCATGATTACTTAATAAAACTGCAGCGAAAGCGAAAAAACCCATATTGCAATATATATAAGTAAAACATCTAAACAAAGGCTTGACCCTTGATATTGTTGTCAATGGATTGAAACATAAAAAAGCGAGACATCATCCGGTAAATAAAAGAATAAAACAAATTGAGAAAACCTTGCCAAGAAAACATAAATTTCCATTGGCTTTCGTAACGTTTATTCTAAAACAGACAGCAAAGACTATATACCAAATAATTAGAATAACTTGTAACGAAAATTGGTAGATACTAACATTTTTTACCTTAAAGAACGTCTCTCAGAAAGAATATCTAGAAGATCTGTTTTCATGAAAAATTCAATTTGGGTTTTTCCAAAATTATTATACGTAGTTCATCAGCTGGTATACGTATTTTAATAGTCTGTAATACACAGTGATGGTAGTCAACGTGCTCGTTGTCGTTTCCTCCAAATTGCTGATACTGTGTACAAGAACGGGTTGATGGCGGCATTGACCGGCAGCACAAATACCATTACCCAGGCATATGCGTCATTCGAAATCTTGTATCCACTTTTTGACATCAAACCTGAAAAATGTAACGTAATATCTGACAATTATTATTATCATTATAGGTTAAACAACACTATAAGCAGTATTGAGGACGAGAAAAACGGTATGTATTTAAAGCGTTTACTTTGTCATTAGTATTAATTATCGGCCGAATCTAATGCAATTTACCTGAGCATGAACTCCTTTGTACTTGGACTAAAAGAAACATCATATTACTTTTATTTTTGATGGCCAGAATCATTCATTATAATGACAATATATCTATGCTGTAGATAAATTTTTTACAGATGTCCATCTTTTATGCCAGTTATTTAATTTGAAATGAAATATATTCTTTATTTTTGATGACGTGATCGGTCAAGTAGAACACTCATTTTCACTCTAAGCCCTAAGATGTGACATTACACTAGTCATACTTTTATTGATTTTCATATAGTGTGTTAAATCAAAGCCTTTCTTGCTTTTTTATACAGAGGTGCTTTGAATGTTTTGTTGATATCTAGTTAAGTATTTGTACATGTAAATCAAAATCCTTGGACCTTGACTTTATCGACGAAGATCAAGTCTTGTAATTAAATATACACCTACCCATGACACCGATAGGAAACCAGCAGAAGAAGTCAGTTGCCACCACAAGGAAGAGGGTTCTAGCTACTATCATGTCTCGTTGTCGAGTCAGTGATGAAGCTACCCGACTCCCACCACTTGTCATAAGGCTTTTAAACATGCAGAGTTGGCCTATGGCTATGATAACAAAGACGAAACTGTTCAGACAAACGAACACTGCGAAGGAATATTCCGAACCAGGTTGTTCATCACCTGTCAGTGGCAAAGCAAGACACACTCCTGATTGAGAATAATATTCATTCTTGAAGTAGAATTGCAAAGAAACAGCAGGGATGATAGCAATTGTGATAGCAACCAACCACAAGAAAAATGAGATTAAGCAAGCCTGTTTCCACGAGATATTTCGCCGAGAAAGACGGGACATGGGGGATACTATGACAATCGCTCTGTCTATTGTCACCATTAGTATAAGGAATGTTGACATTTCACTAGAGACATTTGATACAATTCCAGCTATGGTACATATAATACTCTTTCTCCAATCCTGATCATTCCATGCGTACATATCTCGATAATTGACATCAAAAGTGCCTATCATCATCAGGTATATACCCATAAGGAAATCCGACACACTCAAATTCAGTACAAAAATCGAATAACTCGTCCTGATATTATCTCTATCAATAAGTAATCGGTAGAACATTACAGCAAAGTTTCCGATTAGGGCACAAACTCCAATTATCCAGAGAAAAACTCTAAGTAAATCTGAACCTATCAAATTATCACAAGAGGATATCATATCTTCTTCTGATTTGCAGGTATCTGGTTCAAACATGCAACGGAATATATTATATTGCCTATTTAGACATCTATCTTCGGCAACCGACTTAGGCTTAACACAACACATGAATGGAGTATCAGTCAGTAAAACAATCAGATTGTCTAAACCTTCAAACATGTGTTGCTTAACTTTCAGCTTGTTCCCTGTGATATCCAAAAAAGATAAATTACTATAATTAGTGAACGTACTAAAAGTTAAATGTGAAAAATCATTGTATGATATATCGAGCGATTCAACAGAGGCAGATAGGGTGGGAAGAGAAGTTATCTGATTGTTTGACATGTCCAGTATCATAAGTACAGGGAGATCTCTAAACACTTTATCTGGTAGAACTGATATCTGATTGTTAGATAGGACCAGTATCATAAGTACAGGGAGTTCTCTAAACACTTGATCAGGTAGAACTGATATCTGATTTTTAGATAGGTCCAGCATGTTAAGTACAGGGAGATCTCTAAACACTTTATCTGGTAGAACTGATATCTGATTGTTAGATAGGTACACTATCCTAAGTACAGGGAGTTCTCTAAACACTTGATCAGGTAGAACTGATATATGATTTTTAGATAGGTTCAGCATGTAAAGTACAGGGAGATCTCTAAACACTTTATCAGGTAGAACTGATATCTGATTGTTTGATAGGTCCAGAAACTTAAGTACAGGGAAACCTCTTAACACAGTATCGGGTAGAACTGATATTATATTATTGCTTAGTAAAAGCATCTCGAGTCCAGAGAGACCGTGAAACACATCGGTTGGTAATTGATTTATCTTATTATATGATAAATTCAAAGATACAAGACTTGACATGTCGTCAAACAAGCCTTCAGGTAATGACACAATGCCATTATTAGATAAATCCAGTGATCTGAGGCTTTGCAAACCATTGAAAAATGTTTTGTACAACTCATTGATATCCGTAATGACTAAATAACCAATGTTTGATAGGTGTAGAATACCCGGAGATATTGAATCGTTCCATATAAAAGGTGACCATATAGTCCCCAGGGAAGGGTCGCTGAAGTTGACTATGAGACCAACACACATACAACTAGGTTGGCACGGATGGACACATACAGACTCGTCATCGGAATCTGGACACTGGCTTTTATCGTCACATACTTCTTGTAGAGGAATGGTGTGGCTATTAGGACAATGATGTGTTCCTGCACAGTTGTATAGTCCTGAAACAATGTTTATTGTACTAACAAACAACGCAATTATCGACGATGATATCGATTTTCAGTTAGAAATATACATCTATTATTCTCACTATGTTTACTCACAGAAATTGATAGATACCTAAGTAGAGCGTCCACGAGCGTCCCTCAAAATTCAACAAAGTAAAGTTAAATTTCGTGTTTTGGCGTAGGATAAAGCTAAGACGGAACAATCTGTAATATTATTTTACTGAGGAATACAAAAAAAACTGTATAAGAACCATCACACCATAGCCCTTCACCTGATGTTAAAATGTGTGATATTCAACAGAATATACTCCATTGACCTCAGTTGTAATGATCGTCATCTATCATCGCATACAGTAAGGAGACAACTCTTAATTAAAATTCAACGCTATATCTTCCTGTTCCATGTATTAAATGATATTTCATACTAATCTGACATAAATACAAAGGTGTTAAGCATGTTGATCTCTTTACACCATGTATGTATATAACAATCTCTCAGTTAATTTGATATACTAACCACAGTTGTGTCCCGTTTCTTGTCTCGTGCATCGTATGTCACATCTGTAGCTGACGTGCTGACAAAAAGGAACCGGACACTTGAAAGTCTCCTCAAAGCTAGATATTTTTCTTCCTAATGTAACACATAAAATTATCTTGTTGCACTAGAGGATATTAAAGGCATTGAATCAATCATTTGTTGCAATATCCTCACGGTATTGTGTATGGAAATACTAGGAAACATTAGAACTTAACGTTAACAATAGATTTAAAAATCATTAGATGGAAAATATATATACATAAGCATTCGGGAGACCACTGTCTTGGTTAAGTGGTAACATACACAATATATTGCCGGTGTCGATAACCAGAACTATCAAGGATACTTCATAGTACATTATAGCACACAATAGCTGCATTGATATCTATACTTGAAAAAACCCAATACATGTTCATTAACAGATACAGAAAATAGATTTGGAGTCTCAGACATAACTGCGTCCACTGTAATAATTGGCTTTAACCACCATGATTAGTTCTCCGTACAATTCCCCCGAGATAATGAGGCGAACACTATTACCATGATAAGCATATGTCCTTGCAAAGAATCTAGGCCATACAGGATTACCATGTAATAATGTTCTATATCTTGTGTAACAAAGTTATGCAGAATTTTACCACACAGATTTAAGAGTTCCTAGTCCCTGACTTTACCGAGTAAACACAGTCACCTTCAGCATTGCCTTCTATAGTTTTACACAGTAGGTACGACGATAAAATACTGCAAAGGGCTGATGTGTGAAGTTCCTTGTAGCTGACTTGCCCGTCATGTGAGAGCCCATTCTTAGTATATTTACCGCGGGAAAAAGGGCGCGGTAAATTCAAACACTTGTAATAAGTATCTTTATACATTTACGATAATAAAGAGGCATTGCCCTCTGTTATATATTGATAAATCAGTGTTCATATACATGTATTAAAGGAACAAAATATTAACTAGCAATCGTAAATTGAACAAATAAACGTTTTAATTCTCTAAATTCAAATTGTATCGGAAAAAATATTTAAAAACTTATTTCTCGATTGCGGGATATCACAAATAAATTGAATTACTTTTTCCAAATAAATCTCCCGGAGTTGAACCGACATTAGGATATTTAGAGGAATGCTAGAAATAAATGCATTTAGCCAGTAATCTAATTGACAACCAAATTCATTTGTAATATTTCATTAAGTATAGTTACTTTGCACACTGGAAAATGCTCATTAGGCTATATCAATTACCAGTAATGTCTAAGATTGACATTGAGTTTACCATGCTCATTCAAAATGCTAGCAAATAATAACCAAATATCCTATAATATTACATTAAGTCATACGAATATGTACTTTGTTATATCTGTAAAAGTTGTTAAAAACTAATCCTATGATAACGATAAATTTCAACTATGACAGAAAATTCCAAACTATTCTCGATTCAATTTCATCGCCGTCAGAATACTTTATATAGGTTATCCTTGAACGTTTCTCCGAAACAAATATAAATCTTTAAGCACTTGTATAACTTTTAAAGTAAAGATATAACGGGAAAAGTCTAATACACTTTTTACTGACATCCAAATTTATTCATTTTTTATTTGAATGTGAATATTTTATAGAATCATGATAAAATGAGTTAATATATGTCCTATACCTTTAAAATGATTAACACACGTTTAACAGTTCTAGAATAAACAGTTAACATGTGTTAAAGTACTTTAACATTTCTATAAATCGTAACAGTTTATCATTTCAGTGAAAGAAACTTTCATTATCTATATGAAGAATTTTTGCTAAATAATAAACAAATTGATTACAGAGAAGTGTGAATTTACAAATCCAAAACAAACTTCAGATTGTTCATAGCATGACATGGTCCCTGTTTCTACCAGTTTCAGTTATAAACTTAAGCCGGATATAGTTAGAATAACTATAAGACGTTTTTGTTAAATCTCTTCATGATTTCACCCATGATACTTTAATTGTTTACCTGTTGGACATTGTTGTCCAGGCGGTGATTCAGTTGTGTTAATAGAACGTTTTCTTCTGTTGTTTCCAGTGTCGTCAACATGTGTCGAAAGTCTTTCATCACACTTTTCATTCTTTCCATGACCAACATCATAAACAAAGTTCTGCCACTCTTCCAAGTTTTTCACCGGGTTTTCGTATGCACAAATTATTCCGGTAAAAATAGAATTTAGAATTAAAAGCATGAAAACATTCATTTTGATACAGACATACGTACACCTCAATCTTAACCTTGTGTTTTTGAGTGATAATAAGCAAATACGCTTCCAAAACAAATCAATATATCACCATTCTGTCTATGATGACAATGCAATGATAGGATACAGACCCGCAACGTCCCGAACATTTGTTTTTAAACGATCAAATATTAATATTTAAGTATATCGGCCAGAAATGATGCAATTTAATTAGGTTCATTGGTCGTATTTTGATCAGAAATGGTATGATCAGCCAATCGTGTGCCTTTGTTATCAATATATTTCATGTATCTGCTACATGCTAATAAAGACAACCGCTAAAACAGGATACAAGCTTATTTCGTAAGGGAAGACACAAAAAATACCAGGCATGATATGCTGCTATTTACTCTAATATATATATATATATATATATATAAGGAAGAAAATGATGGATCGGATGTAAATCTGTCTGAAATAGTTTACGTATCGAGATTCAATTTGAGATCAAGGAAATAACACGAGTGACGAAGTCGTGCGTTTCCTTAAGACTATTTTTTCCATCTCTCAGGAGCAACGGATTGTTATACCACAACATGTAGACCGCGCCATTGCATTTATCCAAAAATGGAGATTTTTCTAAAATTTTTAAAAAGCATCATGTTGCCCTAAGAAAAACTTTAGACTACAATATTTCTTTTTTATCATGTACTCGGGACTATTGGCGCTATAACTTACACTGATAAAAATGCAGAATGAAATTTTTCCCATCCATGATGTTGTAAAGCACAAATTTAAGTGAGCCCTTGTTAAGATCATCTCTGTTTATCCGCAACATGCATTATATTAATTGCAGTTAATGTTAATATGAAATCAGGTTTGTTGATATTATTTTTTCAATTAAACTAGCTTATTAATGGGTACGAATATTGCCATTTTTATATTCATCATAATAATGGCGTTGTTTCTCATTAGAAAATGACAATTCACTCATTACACACGGCACAGAAACAGTAAAAAACAAACAAAAAACAAAAGCACCTCAACATATGCCTTCGTGGCTTATTGCAGTATACGTACGGTAGATTACAACCAATCCTACACAATATTCTGGCCTTTAGTGTTGGTCATGACAAGGTTTTGACCAGTAAATGTCAAATATATTGATACTCATTTCTACAGTGTTTCTGGTCATAACAATATGGTCGTGTATCAGGTAACTGTTACGAATGATAATATATATGACGATGTGTATTTTATGAAGTTACCGGAGAACATAGGAATCAATATACAATTTGAAATAGAAACGTTATCTTGATTATGTAACATGTTGTCTTGACAAACAAGTGTAAGTGAATCGCTTACTAAAAGTCAAAACGTCCTGCCTTTTATTTGAAATGAATTGAAATGGAATATCTCGTAATCAATCGTATGTACATTGAGAAGCAAACGGAGGTGTCCAGTTGTTCAGTTGTCCACGCCTTTTATGTGATTAGAATCGCGATATTAAAATGATAGACAAGAGTCTTTAAAGTGATATTGGGAATCTATGTTAGGTGATATATTCACGAACGTATATTTCATACCGGAGAAAGTGACACCAGGTTTTGGTGCAGTGAAATGGTAACCTGTTCTGAAGGTATCACTTTGTTGTCGGAATGTTTTTTTCACCTCTTGTTAGTTATTTTCCTGTGACAATAATATAAATATATCCTGCAATATATTGCCAGTTTATACAGTTTGTATCAATTTACATATTAATCAATGGTTATACTATCCAGAATATTACAAGTGCAAGTATTTCTGCTGGACGCCATATAACAAAAAACAGATACAGTGATAAAGAAAAAGTCTTCGATATCTAAACGTCGAGACGTTTTACCATTCAATAGGAATTCCAAGGGTGTTTTTTTATTATAATGTATAGGTTCATCTGACGCATAGATTGATATTTCATATTGAAGTTCTTCAAAGCATGTCCTATACACATTTGAAAATGATTTTAACAACTAAGATCTTAAATGTATATATTGACCTCCACGAAATTAACACCAGATTTATTCATTGACATTGTAGGACATGTACTATTATAACTGCAGGTAACAAAGGGTACATTGATAAATTACATTTGTTTTTCAATATGAAGTCTTTCATTCTCAGTAATGTATCTTCCAACTATGTTACTAATTGTTTACCAAATTGTCCTGTATATCACTGTGTAGATATACACCAACATAATACCGCTCTTTCAACTGCATTCGGTCGGATGGTGTAGATATACACCAACACACTAGTAAGCATATCACGAAATTCTCTTTTTATTTGTTGTCCGAATATATTGATTACGAATTAATACATAACTATTGAAACAATTTTGTTATAAAGCGTTGGGCAAAATGTATTTAGAGATGGTATTCCGTATAGAAGAACCATAGAGTTGGATGTAAGTCAACTGTATAACAAAAATGACTATATATATTGCTGAGTGTGTTAAAACATTCTCTCACACTGCAAACATATAGTGATATCAGAGGAAAATTATTCTAACAACAAGAGTGAAAAGTTCAGCGCAGGGAGTCGTTTTACTGACCGAGAACCTAGTATCACTCCCTCCAGTATGCAAAACGCTTGTGTTAATATGTCACCCAACTTAGATTTCAGATAGCATTTTAGAAACCCCCATCTGCTATATTATATCGAATTTCGAATCAAATAAAAGCTTTCGGACAACTGGACACCACCGTTTGCTTCATGTTTATAATTAATCACGAGGGATTCCCTTTCTATCCATTTTGATAGAGCAGGACTTTCTGACATTTGTTAGCGATTCCGTAACATTTGATACATCATCGTCCAGAGTCTATTTCAAACTGTATATCGATTCCTGTAA